GCAGCAGTCAGTTCCCTTAATTAATTCGCCTGTTTGATACTTGCGCACTTCTATCCTTGCAGGATAATGCTGCTTTGTTTTTCCTCCCCAATACCTGTTGATTTGTTTTCTTTCCCTGACATTATTGTATTGGTTGGTGTCTCCACCAGACCATATGGCAGAAATGTTGAAATGAAGTTCTCCTCTCTCATGGTATTTTTCCACACTGAATTATTCTGTAAACATTTGGCAACACTAGCAAAGTTTCTTTCCAGTCTTATTCTAGTAAAATATCATCATCTATTTATAAATTGTAGATTTTCAATTTCTTAGTATATTACATCATTCATTGACATTCCTTATGTTTTTTTCTAGAATCTAGTGCCTTGAATTATATCTGGTAAGTAAACTTTGCTTATATTGTGGCCTCCTTCATCTATAGCAAAAATCGTAACACTAAATGTGATTTTCACTTAGGAAGGAAAGTTGAAAGCTAGGCATGGGCAAGCACCCCTGTATTTTCAGCACGCAGTAGATGAAGCAGGAGGAATCTTTCAAATACCAGACCAGCCTAGGGCTAGCCTGAACTACATGGCAAGATGCCGTCACAAATAAACAAAGCAAACGAAGAAAGCAAACAAACAAAGCAAATGTAAAAGAAGAAAATTTCCTTCTGCTGTTCGATTTTCTAATGTCACACGTGTAGTAGAGTTCAAGTTTCATCATAAAATGCATTGATTTTCCCATTTCCTATGCATCTAATGGACTTTAAGTAATTTAGTAATGGTACTCTCCTGAATGTTTATAAACTTGACCAGCAAGAAAAACTCTCAAGAAACATGAAAACTGTGAGAAAAAAATAACAGATAGGTTCCACTTTTTAGGTAAATGTGGTATTTTGAACAATTTTGTTCAGTATTTATCTGTAAATTCATGAATTTTATTCACTTTTCAATCGTTTTAGATAATTACGGAAATAAAACACAAATTCCATATATTTAATGTGTTCTAAATGTATCTTAAAAGGGGAACTGTTGTTATTTATTAAAACTGCATATTAAAAACTGTGAAAAACATGAAACTTGCAAAATGGATTTATTCAGAAATGGGGTAGTGTGAAAATAGTGCTTCTGACGAGTCTAGAAAAATGAATCAAGGAATGTTCAAGGAATACAGAGCGTGTTTTGACACTGGATATTGTAATGTGCACAATAATGAAATCAGATGCTAAAGGAAGGAGGAATTATATTTTCGTGAGCTCCTCATCCACTTTCCACTTTCTAGGCAGCAGGCAGGATAACATGAGCAATGGACAATCTCGCGGAAGGCCTACACTTACCCGTCTCGTTGGAGATCTCATTCTCTGGGCAGGGGGTGCAAGAGAAACAGCAGACAGCCAATCCCTCCCGCGGGGATTTCCTGAATCCGGGATTACAGCTCTCACTGCAGACTGAGCGGGGAGTCTGAGGAAAATCAGGTATGTGTTGGTGACGTCTTGGGCTTTTACCTCCTACTTCAGAATTAGACGGATAAATTTCATAGGGTTAAAATCATGTTTACCAAATTATATGAATACATAAAGTTTTTCAAAATATGGGTAAGAACTTTATTATTTTCCCATTCATCAAAAAGCTGATAAGTAAGGACAATTATAAACTGAAATCTGACTTTCAGTTTTCCTCACATGAACATTTTCTAAGCTAAATCAAGGGGAAAAACTCACAGCACAATGTCAGTGTTTATGATTAGTGAAAAGCAGTACAATTACACCCAAATTACCTCTGTAATTCCTGTGCCCCACTCCATCACATCTTCATTTAAAGACAACTGCTGACCATGTGGAGCATGTGGGGAAAACCTCCCTACTTTGGTTCTAAGTCTAAGACCCTCTGGAACGTTCCAAAAGTTGAGAATGTCATACTCTGCAGCCGGTTTCCTTTGCTCATCCATGTTCACTTGGTCCCCAGCAGGATTGGTGAATTGAAGTTCCTTCAGAGAGCGGTGCAACTACAAGAGGTGCAGAATCCTATAAATAACTGAGTCCCACGCTTAAGGATCAGAACTCCACTGGGGAAAGTCCTTGAATGTCTTTACTCCCTGCTTTACAATGACAGTTCTCTATAGTCATCCAGTGAAGAAGGACAGGTGAAAGGCCTTGGAAAACCAAAATACTACAATGTTCCAAAAACATCAATACCTATAAAAGAAAAATGTGGGCGGGGGACATAGCTCAGCAGCACAAGCACTGGCCTGGCAAGCACAAAGTCCTGAGTTTGATTCCCAGTACCAAAAGAAAAGATAAAAAGACAAAAAATGCTACAGCAAAAACCAACAAAATAATGTTCCAAAACAGAAAATACCTCAGCTGTATGGTGACACCTTCCCACACCCATTTTCTGTCATATTGTTCCTAGAGGATGCACATGAAAACAAGTATTTTCAACACTAATTCAAATAAAATCTCCAATAGAGTGCTTATCCATTCTGTACATACAGTCCTATATTATGAATTGTGTAAAGGAATAAAACGTTTCCTATTGTCTATTAACGATTCCATGGGAAATTTTCAGGTTTCCTTAGCTGAAAACTTTAGGTGAAGATTAGGCTGACATCCTGTGGAATACAAAATATTTGCCTCGATTCATGTTTAATGTCCCCCTTGATAGAATCTACTTATTCTGAATAACCATTTCTACTCAGATTGCTACTGCTCCTTTACAGTGAAACTGATGCACAACCTCTTGTTTTGGACCAAACATTCTAAACTGTGTCTTTTGCACGCCTGTCAGACCCTTCAAGGCACTATCTGCCATCCAGTGCCAGAGCCATTACCTGCCACGGGGAGAATCCCTTCCATTCTCCATTCTTGCTGGGTTGCATTTGAATGTGTTGAAGAAGTGTCTCCTGGAGGGCATGGGCCACAGCATACACAGCGTTGTACATATTGTAACTCTCCTCACTCATGGTGGGGTCAAAAAGACTTAAAGGCAGACATGTGAGAGAAGCATTGGGTGGGCAGTTCTTCAAAGTACAATCAAAATTAGATAAAGTGCAGTCAAAGATCATGGCCCAAAACACAGTGAAGTAAATATCTTCTGGGAACTTTGAAGGGGAAGCTGTCTGGATAAAAGTTTTAAAACCAGAAATCTCTTCACGCTGGTTTGAGAAAATGATTGTTCCATGAAAAGAATCAATTATCAAATTTGTTCCAAAGGTGGCAGCATGCCATTGTGAGTTTGTGACCCAGACTCTCCACGTCACCAGATGTTGCCCCGTATAAAACCCAGCATCACTTTCACTAGGATCAAAGTACATGATAACCACATTTGCTGGTGATGTTTCTCGGGTCCATAAGTCATGTGTTGGTCTATTTAAGAAATGTAGCATGGCAGTGCTTGAGATCATTTTTTCAAATGCTACACAGATTCCGTTCCTGTCCATCTCTTCCTTCAAGTCTGACAGAAACTGAAGACCTTTCTGACTCTCTGCAATGACCAGTCCCACCCATGTCCAGCTGAAATGAAGCATCAGTGAGACCATGCCAAGGCCTAGAGATGTGTCTTTGGGGGACATCTGATAGACAGAGGAAAACTGATCATGGTCACTGAGCACAGGGACAAAAGAGCCAAAAGTCAGCTACAAAAAAAGAAAACTGTAAGTAAAATGATGAAGACATTGGCAGAAAGCACATTCTCAGATTTGAAGAGTATTAATCAAGAGCTGGAAGTGATAGGAAGAGATATTTGTTCATTCCTCCACCTCAATTAACTCACTCTCTCAGAGCCTTTCAAAAGTAATTACTTGCCTGTAAGGCTCTAGAAAACATCTCTGTCTACTTTCAACTACCTCATTTTTGTAGACAACCACAATATGGTGACCAAACCTGGATTCTGTGCACTCATTGCTTAGCTGTACATCTTTCTCATTTTATTTTTTCAACTTTTTTATTAGTACATATTTATGATTTGTTCATTTATACTGTATTTAATTAAGTTTATTGGCATAGTTTAGATATATACAATGATCACATTCATTATGGGGATTTCGTCCCTGTACTGATTTACCTTGATTGGTTTTTTCTCCCCTAGTCCCCTCCCCTTCCTTTAACTCCTCTTCCCTGCCTTATTCACACACTTTTGTTTCCATTTTATCCTTCTTTTCTCATTATTTTGCTTTTCTTCTTTCCCCTCCCCCCTCCCCTCCCTAGTTCCCCTTTCCTTTGAATCCATTTCTTCCCATTTCACCATATCTCTGTACAATTTGGTTCTATTTACACTTTCAGTTTCTCACACCAGTGAGACAATGTGCTATTTACACAGGTTTGTCTGATTTATTTCACTTCAGCATGTGGTCTGAACTTCCACACATTTAGCAAAAATTGTCTTAAGCTTATCCTTTGTTATTGCGGAGTAGTACTCCATTACATGAAGAGTTTGTAGCAGCTCATCTAGGAAATAGCCAAACGTACATCAAGCCACGAATGAACTAAAACAAGAAGTGTGGGTTTCTCGTATTTATCCTCTCATCAGGTTCATCACAGGAATGTCACTGGCACATGATATATTTTAGCTTTTTCCCATTGCCCTATGCTTTCTTCAGGCTTCCTTTCTTCACATTTATAAGTGCTTTGTTTCCCTCTTGTCCTTCCGCTCTCTCTTTTTCCCTCCTCTCACTGTCAACCTCCCCACCCTCCTCCCACGTGCCCTGCACATTTGCACATTTTCCGGCTGCTTCCCTACATCTATCACCTTATTGGTCCTTATTTACACTTTGGTTTCTCACACGGTGTCAAGGTGCATCCATTTACCTAAAACTATCTCAAGTTTATCCTTCTTATGACACAGTAGTACTGCACTGTGGAAAAAAACGCATCTTCTTTAGCCATTCATCCACTCATGCACATCTATCCAGTGTCTAAGATTTAGCTATTGCAGACTGTTCTGCTATAAACATGAGTGTGCACATATCCTTGGGGCATGAGAATTCTAAGATTTTACTGAAATGACTAAGAATTCTAAGATTTTACTTAGAAATGACTAAGAATTCTAAGATTTTACTGAAATGACTGAAAAGAAGTGGAACACGTGGGTCAAATGGAACCTCAAGTCTTAGTTTATGAGGACTGTCCATACACATTTCCATACTAGCTGTACTCACAATGGGTTACAGATGAAATTAAACAATGAACCTGATTGTTTCTACAATTGAAAAATAATGCCAGTGCAACATATCAGAACGTATGGGATGCAATGAAAGCAGTCTTACAGGAGAAATATTAGAGTGCAGAGTTCCCACAGCAAAAACACAGATGGAGCTGAAGTAAAGAACTTAATGTTGAACCTCAAGCTTCTAGGAAAAGAAGAGTGAGTTAAATAGAAAAATATACGGGGGAGGAAATTACAGAGCTCAAACCAGAAGATAATGCAATTGAGACTAAGAACATAAAGAATCAATGAATCAGAGAGTTGGTTCTCTTTTTAAGGATCTTTTTTGTTTTGATTTGATTTGATTTTAAAGAAAAAAGAAAACAGCAACAAAGATAAAAACAAAACAAGGTAAAAACAACACAAATTTCAAAACAAGATGATAGGAATTAACACTTGTTGTTATATTACATATTGTTGCTCAGATTACCAGATGTAAGAATCCAAGATTGATTAAACAATTAAAGAGAATAAAAAGTAATAAAAATCATTAGAATTGATACAGAGTTTCAGTAATCAAGGTGGTAGGAACTTAATAATGGTTGTTATATTGCCTCTTGTTGTCTTCAAATTAATTGTTCAGATTACCAGGTATAAGCATGCAAAACTGGTCAAAAAGATTTCAGTATTAACTGCTCCTTTCAATAAATATATAAAATAAATAAATAAATATATATGTATATACAAGGATAGATGGGATAATTGAACTGCCGATATCTAAAGTTGGTTGTTTGAAAGGTTAAATGAAGTAGGCAAAACCTTAGCCAAGCTCATGAAAAATGGCAAGCAAAGCCTTGAATCCATACAATTAGAGAGGAACAGGGCAAAATCACAACAGATCCTGCAAAACTCAGAAGATTATCAATACTAACTGTGAAAACATTCATTCTAAG